AGATCGAGATGTATAAAGAAGCAGATCGAGAAGAAACCAAAGAGAGATCGAGAAGATTACCAGAAGACCAGCTTGAATCTGCGATGTATGAAGAACACCAGCTTCAATCGATGAATGGGACGAGAGCGGATGAGAGCGACGTAAAGGAGGCGGATGAGAGCGACGTAAGGAGGCGGATAAACAAATAAGAGGTATTAAGAGCTAGGGTTACCACTTAAAAATTCAGAGGAAACCTTATGAATTCAGCTCTTAATTTGGGGAAAAAAACAAATGATCTGAAAGTCTGTATGTCTGACCGATTTAGACTAAGAGGAAATTAAGAGGCAAATTTTAAAAAACAAACAGGCCCTTATGAAATTTTTATCCATTTTACTTCAACAACCCAAATAAGGCTCACGAAAAAAATCTAGTTTATTTGTCTAATTGCGAAATCGTGATTTTATTTGTATGATGTTTGAAGTTTTGTTTAGTTTTATATTATAATCTAATACATTGTTTGTAATTGGTTCGATTATGTTTGAGACATTTAAACTTGCATTTTTAAAAAAATTGTAATTTACTTTTAGTTGTGAAAATTAACATATTGTAATTTTTTTAGATTTGTTTCGGGTTTCGGTTTCGGGTTAGATTATAACCAATGGTGAACGGAAAAAAAAGAATTTTTACCTTAACGGGTTCCCCAACGGGGATCGGGGAAACTGCGGGGACCCAATGGGGATCCCCGATAAGATCCATGACGGGGATCGGGGCGGTCACGGGAACAATTTTAGTTATCGATTTTCGGGGACGGGGATACCAATAACCGGCCCGAACCTGGCCTGTTGCTATTCCTAGTTTTAAACGAGATCGAGCAAAGGAGATCGAACATAGCAGAGCAGAGCAGAGCAGAGCAAATCGAGATACATTGTCGATGAATTTGGATGAGGGCTAAGGAATTTGTCGGATTGTAATTTGAAATCCGTGGTATATGCGGTGGAATTGTGAAATCGATGGCAAATGCAACAAATATATAATATTTATAGACGGCAAATGCAACAAATAAATTCACACACCTTCCTCACCTTTGGTGAGGTTTGAACCCCTTACTTACTAGGAGGACAAAGACTACGATACCGTTAGGCCAAAGGCCATTTAGTTGGGGGTTCTATTTTGTTAGACATTAACAGAGTCTTGAAAAAAGTTGGTTTGATGAGTCTATAAAGCTAGGGCTTATGACTTGGGATTTTTTTGTGCATCTCTAATAACGATCAAAGGAGTTTTTCATGAGTTGGTTTATCATTGGATCAATATGTAGGCATCCTTCAAAGAATTTGGAGAGTTATTATTGATGAATGAAGAAGAGTAATTAAAAACCCATACTTGGAATTACATTTGGCTTCAAGTACACTCATTTCAGCCTGAAACCACCCAGAAAAACTTGATATTGTAGCAAAAATTTCATGAATGAGATGGTACATATACTCCCCAACTTGAACATCAGAATGAAGGTACTAATTTGATAGCGAGAAAAGGGGAAGCAAAGCAATGGAGTGACTTGTATGCCTACAAAACTACGATCATCATTTCTTCCAGATGTTAATAAAATTAGTTGCCAACGACTTCAAATTCCCCCATATAGATGCTTTCACTGTCAACTCCTCGTCTTTTTGTCTCTCAGCCATGTTCCTACATTTAGAAAATTGCAGCTAACTCAATTCATCCAATTACTATATGTATACAAGAAACCTACACACACATCTTATCTAAGTTCTATGTTTTCTTTTAAGTGTATAACTTATAAAACATCAAGTATAAATTACTAATGCATACAAAATCTTTCAATTTCTAAAATATTTCTATTTTGCGCTTCTTTAAATGTTAAAACAGAGTTCTTGGAAACCTCTACTACCCTTCCCAAATAAATTGTCAAGTAGAATATTTAAGACTTTCAGAAACATAATCTCAAAGCAAAATAAATGATTCATGAGAACACAGACAATTCAACCAGCAATTTCATTACTTGCATTGGTCAAGAACCACAAAACAAGTTTAGTTAAAAAGCGCACATGAAGTGATGATGCAGCAGCAGGTGGTAACCGATTAAGAAGCACTAGAAAACACAACAAATATAAGAGAGAAAGAAAGCAATTTGTATTTAGTTTTCAAGAACCCTACATAAAAATTCATCACCCTTCAGTCGATGATGCAACTTGCAAGGGCATCACATGCTACTGAAACTTGTTTGGAGGTTAATTTGCTTTTAGCATGGGCTGGTTCCTGTGGATATTTGGAAGGTATTAAAGATTTTTTAAACAGCCCCTAGGGGTGTTCCTTAATCCTTTGGAATATTAATTGAGCTTAAGCCTAAAGGGTTATCACTAAGGAAGACCAGGATAGTTTTTATCTCCAGGATGCATAAATATATAACACCAGCCCCAAATGGCAAAGCCATGCAAATTGGTATCAAGTATCCTTGATGAATATTGGGTTTCTGGCAGAAGTATTATAGCAATTGTGCAGTTTCCAGCTCTAAACAAGATGCTTACAAAGTATAAAAGTTAGTGGTACCATGGGGGACAGCTGAATATGCTATGCAGTTGTGGTCTGTTTGAGTCTGATTTTTATAAAGTATTATGTATTAGAAATTTACTCATCCAGCTCCTTTATATAAAGGAGAATCTAGGTTGTATACAAGAGGTTTTTGAAGAATATGAATTCAACGCTAAAGTATTTCCCTTTAGGCTCTAGCTTCTTCAAATCCTTTGTTGTAAGCTTGAATCTCCTATCAAAAACATGTTTGGGTGAAAATTTTCTTCTTGAATCCATCTAATGTCTAATATCATCTTAATGTTTATAAGAAACAAATCTACAAGTCAAAGGATGGACTTTGAAGTGTTGAAATCAATATGAAAAGGTAAAGATACTTGATATAGTTTGTTTCTTAGGAACATTAAGATGATATTAGATGGATTCAAGAAGAAAATTTTCACCCAAATATGTTTTTGATAGGATATTCAAGCTTACATACAAAACAGTTAGAGTAGTCCTTAATGGTTCTTTAACCTCATAAACATCACAAAAGCCAATGAAGATGTATTTTGTAAGCTTTCAAGTGCATCATACTTGAGGGTTCGTTACCACGTAAAAGCGCAATCAATGTGAACATGTTTTCTTAATTGACCCACTACAACAATCAAAGAAGCAGTGGATCTGAATGCAAGTTGAATACCCACAACATACACTTCCAAGTACACCCACTACAAGCCTGTGTCACCTCCGTGACCTTCGCATTCTCTGCCACCACTTTACTATCACCTTTAACCCAATACAAAATTGAATTCTTCTCTAACTTCACATGCAGGACCACATGCCAACTTGTGAAAGGAAGAACATGTAAAACGTGGGGGAAAAGAATTCATAGAGTAGAGAGAATGAGTAGTTGTATGGGTTGAATGACGCACGGCGATATACTGAACAAGTGACATGCACTTAGGCCCTAATATGATAAATGATGAGGGCCAAAAAATAAAGAACTCAAAGTATAATGTCTAATATGTGATAAATGTTACAGATATTGTTTTGAAATAAAAATTTTAAGGAAGTCTGGGCGCAAATGTGAGAAAAAAAGGAAAAATATTTCAGTCAGAGGGACATTTTTGTGAAATATATCAAGTTGTCAACAACTAAAGATTGGTGGCCAGAATATAAACTCTAGAAACTACTTTCTAGTTGAAAAGTGTATTTATGGTCAACGTTGTGGTCAAACTAAGACTGGCTAAGTAACTAGTGGCAAAATAATAAGTTCCAGGAGTTCTCCATGGATGTAAATAAAAGCGAAGGTTAGGGTAAGTTAGTGAAGATTGGAAGTTTAGTGGCAAACATGGGAGCTTTAAAACCAAGGTTGGGGTGCGTATGTAAGGGGCTGTTTACCCAAATGCTTACCCGGTAAGTGCTTACTTATAGGAGTCAACACTAGAATTTATTTTGATGAGTAAGATTTCAATACATCAAAACGTATTAAATGCAACAATTTACCGGCTAAGCGCTCACCTGGGTAAGAGTCGTAATCTTCACTTACTGGGTAAGACTCTCCATCCTTCACATCACTCTTACCCGATAAGATTCTTGACCCTTGTCATGTTTATCCGATGAGGAAATTTATTCAATAAGCACTTACCAAGTAAGTGTTTAGCAAACGGCCCCTAAGTATATTTGTTATGCGAACCACTATTTTTATATGCATTACCGTTGCGATAACCACAAATAACGGTCATGACAGTTATTTTAGATTTTGATTGCTCTAACTGCTTAAGTTTAACCTAATTAATAGGTTCAAATAATTTACATAGGGACCCCTATGGCTTTTCCTAATCAATAGGTTCAAATAATTTACATAGGGACCCCTATGAATTTAAACAAAAATTGGAGAGAACTCAATGATTGATCTTTTGAACATCGGGATAATTTACATAGGGACCCCTGTTAGATTCAAATTATTTGTTTCGCTTCAAATAATCTACATAGGGACCCATGTTGGATTGAGATGATGGATGTGATTAAAAAGATGGTTACAACCACCCTTTTTAATCGAAAATCGGCAAAATATAATCAAAATTGGAGCGAAACAAATTACACGATAGACGATAATTTTATACTTTTTAATTTGGCATCCATATTGATATACTTTTTCATCCGTTTATCGTGGTTCTTCGTTTCTTTTTCTTTTGGGTTCTCTTTGGATCTCACCCCTATATATACATATATACACACACACACACATATCATGGTAACAGAGTCGTATCTCAGAAATCATAAATTGTCCTCTCCAACCTCCATTGCAAAACCCCACATCGTGTAAGTTCCACTTGCAGAAGCTACAAAGCACACTTCCCTCTTGCAGAAAGGTACCCCAGGCGCCAATGAAACATTTCTATGGTGCATCACCACCATCTGGTGCAATTCTGACCTAAGTGCAACTCAGATCTGGTCACTGTCACACCTCTCATGACTCTGGTTGCTGCTAAGCCTTTCTAGGAAAGCTACTCCCTTTCTCGAATTCATTTCCCTCTTTCCTGTCTTCATTTCAGTTCCCTTCACCAAATATGAGGCCAAAAAGGAGTAATGACACTCCATATCCATGCGCGGAAGGCGCACATCGTGCTCTCCTTTTCCTAAACCACAACACTGCAAATGGTGATGGGCTGGACCCTAATTTTACCCTTTACTATTCTTATGCACCATAACAGTTTTAAATTCCATTCCACGATAATAACTTGTTTAACATATGAACCTTTTGAAATAGATAGCATAAAAGAAGATTACCTCATGATGTTTCTCATCCCATCATGTTGCTGTTCAACTTTTGACTCTGAACCCTCGAAGCCAAAATTTTCCAAGGGAGAATCATCTTTCACATTATTCTCTGGCTTCTCATGACATGGACCTCTTCTATCATGACCCTCCATTGCAATATAATTAGTATCATCCTACGATGGGAAATAATTGAGTAAATATTTGTGGCCGATGCTCATGAACAACCATATTACGCATCAGTAACTAATGACATTGCACTCGAGATTGAACACCAATGGAGGGTTGAGACACGAAAACTCCTCTCATCCACCATTTCACATGGATAAGCATGCTAGGAGAGTTCCCAAAACATGCTTAGCCAAGAACAGATTGCACGGATGAATAACTGGCAGCGGCACATAAGTTAATATCTTTTTTATTAAAAGAAAACCAGGCAAATTTATAAGTTAATATCTTGATGCAGATACATTATCTAGAGACCATAACAATGAGATGAAGATGTTGTGAAGTTAACAAATCAGACTTGGTCTATATTCGCTGACAACTGACATAAGGAGGGAGGCTTCATCTATAAGAAATCACAGATTTAATAATGCTTAGGCAAGTCTCCTCTAATTAAAATTTGGTATTTACTTTCAGTTGGCAGTTAAGCAAAATCCTAAAAAAATATATAATATCTATTTTGGCATTCTAATTTACCACATGCAGTATAGTGAACAAACTAACACCACCACTTCGATATGTAACTACACAGTGAGCAAGAAGTTTTTACAAGCTGTGCTTCAACTTACAGTGCATCCTGATCAAGCTTTCAAGATCTTACTTGTGCCTGGCCGGACAACTGTTGTTTATTTTAAATTTCTGGCCTCCCCAACCCAAGATTGGTTATGGTAACTCCTCATTAACACAATAGATAACCATTAAAGCACTAGCATAAAAGCTTACAGGAGATGCTTACTCTTGTAGTGCTGTTTCCAGTGTTGGCACTGCTTGTTGATGGCTGAAGCACCTCCTTCGATTTAAAGTTTGTGTCAAAATTACCGACAGATTCTGGCCAAGCATCTTTATAAAGCTGTTGGTCCGTGGTTATTTGACTGGTTGATACCTCTTGACTTCCAGATGGTTCAATGGCTATTTCACTGCTTACCGTATCTTCTCCTTTAGTCTGCTTTTTATTCTCCTTCCCAATCCCTTTCTCCAAGGAAGATATTTTAAAATTGTATTCCATCTCCTGAAGCATCTTTTTGATTAAATAGTAGCTGCCACCTACTTCTTTCTGTGCACTTGTAGGGGGCGGAAATTTTCCCATATTCATAGCTCTATACCTAGAAGAGCCAAAAGAATTTTAATCATGTATATGCTAGAGCCATAAGCAAAGAAGGTAAGACAGATTTCAGACACAACAATTAAACTCAGTTTTTAATGTACAAGAAAATAAACTTGCAGCTTCTATGTCCCAGAGATTACACATAGTAACAGTCAGGATTTAACCATGGAAGGACTGGATAGTGACCACACCACCATTGACAGTGATGAGGTAATAGAATTGAAACAATTTAACTAACAGAGAAATGGACGAAGGAAGGTTTGATTGAATTTGAAGAAAAGAAAAGAAAACAGCCACTAGTAATCGAGGAAAAATCCCTCTCTCTAAGAGCCAACCAAATAAGATAATTCTCCATACCCCCATGCATTTACGCCCCACGCCCTATGCTGTTAAAATCGCGATATATCAACATATCGTTGATATATCGGATATCGGACTCGGGGAAAAAATCGGTGGTGAAATATCGGTCAAACATCGGTTCGATATTTACTGATATTTACCGATATTTTGATGGAAAAATCGATCCGATATACCAATTTTCTATAAGACAAATGTTTGGGCTTTTCTTATTACATGTTGGGCTTAGTTTTTCACTTTTTTGGGCTCTTTATTTGGTCACATGTATTAGGTCTCAACTCTCACGCTTCACAGTTCACCCTTATTCTCGGTCTCCTTCATCTTCACGCTCACAGTTTGGCTTCTTTTCTTTTCATCTTCACGGTCTGGCTTCTTTCTTTTCTCGGTCTCTTTCTCTTCTCAGTCTCCTCTAGTCTACTTACCAAGTTGATACACCCACAGGTCCTCAACCAGCAGCAACCGACAACGGCTGTGTTGAATGTTGATACAACCATAGGTCTTCAACAGTTCCTCAACCAGCACTCCAGCAGCAACTGTTAATCTTGAGTGTTGATACTTGATACAGCCATACAGGTTCTTGTCCTCTCCTCGTCCTCAACACAGCCTTCTGGCTCCTCGTGACTCCCTCAACTCAGCCTCCAACAGTTTCCTGATCCAGGTCTTATGTCCTAACTCCTAAGTCCTAACACCCACCCACTCACTTAATTATTCTTATCTGACTTAGTTAGAACTTAATTACCATAAATTACTTACTTTTGTTGTTAACGCTTAACTAAAGAAAGCAATGGAATGAAGAGAAGGGGGACAATCTTCAAGGGCATCTGTGACCCCGATTACTACTAATACTATTTCATCAGACGCGAGTACAAAATGCATCAATGGCGATATGGCTTGGGAATGGGGGGTATGGAAAGATCCAACCAAAAAATAATGTATGGTGTACTTTATGTGATAAAAAAATGAGTGGGGGGATCACTAGGTTGAAAGAACATCTTACTCAGACCAAAAGTAATGTGATTGGTTGTCCTAATGTGAGTAACGACATCAAAAAAAAAGTTCTTGCATCAATTAGTGAAAAGAATAAGAAAAAGAAAGAAAGAAATAGAAATGTAGAAATCCTCAGATAATATTCGGTTGAAGTTGATGATATTGATGAGGATGAGCAAGAAATAGATGGAACATAAATTACCGAAGGAGGAAGAGCACAAGCCGGAATGCCACCTCGTAGGCATGGGAATGGGCCCCAACCCCTCGGGGAACCCGGTCCCCCCCCTCCCCCCGGGGCCGGGGACGGGGATTCCCCGCTAAATCGGGGATGAGGACGGGGACGGGTATGGTACTCCCCGCCCCGCCCCGTACCCGTTATATATATTAATTAATAAATTATATATATATATATATATGTATGTATATTACTTATTTCAAGTAAAACGGTAATTCATAATTTTCTATTTCCTAACTAGGTTTATAATCTAAAATTGTTACTTTTTGGATATTAGTATGCAATATTTTGGATATCAAGTCAAAATACAATTACTCGATAAGTTTTTTATATTACTCGACATGGTTTTATATTACTTAATATCTTTTGGTACATGTGACTTAAATTTTTTTGGATTAAATTGAATTTTTTTTGGTTTTAGGTTATTAGTTCTTATATGATGTTGTGGTTTCCTTGTATTAAGTTAAATTCATTTTGGTTTTAGGTTTATTGAAAATGTTTTGAGATTTAAACATGTATGGTATCTTACATATTTCATTTAAAATAACTTATATAAACGGAAAAAAAATCCCCGTTTCCCCGTTGGGGATGGGGATGTGATTATATTCCTCGGCGGGGAAGGGGACGGGGATTGAGGTCCCCGTCCCATCCCCGCCCCATTCCCATGCCTACCACCTCGTGGTTTGAAAAGAAAGCCCGCTAGTGATGTTCGCAGGCCTCTTGATGCAATGTTGAAGCCCGATTATGCCAAGATAAAACAAGCCACTTTAGATAGAAAAAAATCCAATAGAAGAGAAGTTAAAGATGGCCGCTTGGAAAGAGTTTGCGGTTTGGGCATATTCGGTTGGGTTGCCGTTCAATGCCGTGCACAATGAGAACTTTCAAAAGTTCATAAATGCGGTTGGAGAGTATGGAAGAGGTAATTACCACTTCAAATTTTGAATATATTTCTCAAAGGTTAATTACTAAGTACTAACTTTATTCCTATAGTTGGTAGGCATGCCGGCTCCAAGTTATCATAATATTCGTATCACACTGTTGAAAGATGTACTCGAGGACACTAACAAGTTTGTGGATTCCTTCCGTTCACATTGGAAGAAGAGTAATGTGATAACTGGGTTCTGGTATCACCTGAGGTAATCATTATGTGATTATTTGATATGTGATTACATGAATATGTGATTAATTATTATAATTGATCATGTGATTATATGCCTACATGACATTAGTATGAGAATATGTGTATATTTTCACATATGGAATTGGATGCATGAATTTAAGTATATGCATGAGTTGTGTAAGTGTGGATGCATAAAGGTAAGTATGTGGTTATATGTATGTGTGCATGAATTTATTTGCACATATGGGGTTATGTATGTAGGTTATATGCATGCATAAAGATGGTAACCGCCTTTCCATATCTGGAAAGGTATAAATAGAGGGGAAAAGGTGAAGGTAAGGTTTTCTTGCCACTTCTGGAAATTTAAGAGAGAAAGTAATTATGTGGAATTTCTTGCATTTTGCTAAGCTGAAGATTGGATTCATATTTGCTGTTTCTTTCAAAAATTTGAAATCTGCATAAGGTGAGTGTACTCAAACATCCTTTACATATGATTTTATCACTGGTATTGGTTTTGATATGTTGAAATTTATTACATTGATCTTAATCATCTTCATTTTCCGACTTAAGCTTCCTCACCGGTCACCATGTTGACCGGATTGGTCATATCCGGACACAGTGTTGTCCGGATTGGAATAGAGGGTTACACTAATAATTATATCCGGACATAGTATTGTCCGGAGAGGGTAAAGTATGGTCAATGTATTGACCAATGAGTGATCGTACCCGGACACATATTGTCCGATAAGAGTACATCCGGTCAAGTGATGCTCAAATTGAGAATCTTGTGTTGGTTCAACTAATTTTACGCATGGACACCATATTGACCGGATAAGGTATGCGTCCGGATAGGGTGATTGCTTAATTGATTGTGTTGTCCAGCCAAGTCTGTCCGGACATGTGTTGGCCGGAGAAGCTTGTCCGGATACAAACTATCCATACAAGTTTATATTGTTGAATTTGAGTTTTAATATTTGGATTTTCACAATTCAACATTTATTTGGGTTTAAATTTATTATTGTGAAAAGGGGTATTTTATATCTTTTAAAATGGAAAAGATAATGTTTCTACCAGTCGTGGTGACGTAAGTCTGTTATGGTTTGAAACTATACTATTGGGAAATGTTTCTACCAAGCGTGGTGACGTAAGTCTGTTTTAATAAGAAACTATATTTTGGGAAAAGTTTCTTCCAGATGTGGTGACGTAAGTCTGTTCTGGTTAGAAACCATATTTTTGAGAAATGTTTCTTCCAGACGTCGTGACATTTGTCTGTTCTGGTATGAAACTTGTTTTAAGAGGTAGTTCCCCAGACGTGGTGACATTTGTTTGTTCTGGCTTGGAACTGGGTGTTGGGTACTTCCAGACGTGGTGGCTTTTGTCTGTTCTGGCAAGTAACCCTGTTTTAAAGAAGGAATAAGGGTGACATATCAAGGAGAGGTGTACCTATGGAATAAGGGTGGCAATGTCAAATGTGGATATTAATATAGCTCTTGTTATTATCACTAATTAGATGCAATAATTCTAAATCAACATTTCTTTGTGACTTGATAAATTAGAAGTATTGTTCTCTTTAGAAATAATAATTTAGATGTTGTTGAGAAGGGGAAAATGGTTTGTCATCAGAAGCTTTGATTGCTTAAAAGTTTTCTATCAAAGTTTTAAATACTTATGTGAATGATACAGAAGGAATCTGGTTGGTCTTTTAAAAGGACTCCTCTGGTTATGTGAAAAGATATTAAAACATTTTGGAAATTTCATGAATCAGAAGCTCTGTATGTATTATACAGAAGCTTTGTATTTTGAAAGGTTATTTCTTATTTTATAAAGTTTTGTACCCGAGCTCTATGTCTGAGTTCTATTTCATAATTTTGTCTTTAAAATTTATCTTTTCTCAAAATTATTTATAAAAGAGCAAAGAATCAGAGGAACTCTGATTCTAGCTTATTTTGTCTTCCTAAAATTAAATAAGTTCTTTCTGGATCAGAGGCTCTTTTTGGTCCAAAAAATCTCTGGTTGGTAAGGTTAGTGGAGCTCTGGCCTGTTGAGTGAAAGTTTTATACTAACTCTGGGTTTTAAAGTAAGGCATTTGAATTATGTGTTGAAATAATCTGTTGGTCTTATATTTTGATTATTTAATTTGATTCCATGTCTTTACCGAAATACATTATCTCTACATAAAAGATGTTTTATCAGATTTTGGTGATCTTCACCCTGCATTTGCAAAGAAGGGATTTACTCACTAGACATTCTAGTCTAACCCTCATTTTGTGTTTTAAAAATGTGCATTGCAGGATCTGCG